GTGCCATAAACTGCATTCATTAACTCCCAAAGGTGAGAGGACAGACACTCACCAGAACAAACAGCATATAAATAGCTTAACAAATGGATTAAATGACACTACTAATGATCTCCCAGCAATAAAAGGATCAGATGTAGCCCAGGAAAGGCCAAGGTTTGCAAGAAAAACCACCACAGAACTGTCACAGATACTGCTCAGGTCAGGAGCTCGGGTATCCAATTCAGACCGACGCCTAAAACATCATACTAGAAAGAAGACAAATGTTGAAAGGGCAAAACTGTAATTTCAGAGTATTTGACACACATCAATTGATATGAGTCAGAGAAATGCCACCGCTCCTCTCGCTGGCGAGCTAGTCCGCCTCAGCGCCTGATGCATTGGCAAGCCTTCCCCTCGCTGGCAGATAAAGGCTGGCACTTGAACAAGGTTATTCCTCCCACTCAAGAAATGGTTACAAGCGTTTTCCAGTCAACTGGAGAGGGAACCAGGACTGCAGACGGGGGCCCACAAGGATGCAACAGGGACGCGTGATTGGATTTTTTTCCTGCATGGTAGAAAAGGGGCAAGATTGAACCAGTCCAGCTTGAAAATCTGTCTTCGGGTTCTCAAAGAAAAGTATTCCGGGCAACTAATTCCAGCTGCTTGGGAACAGCGTTGGCTATCTAAATATCAGGCACTGAGAACAACGCCACCGTATGAAATTCCTCTGCCTGCTACGCAGATTCTACAGGATACGGCTGCGTTAAAGCGTGCTTTTCATTTAGATCCAAGTCAAAACATCTTTAGGCATCAGTCGCACCTGAATTTCTCATACTTGCAAACCCACCTAATTAAATCAACAGTCATTCCATAAAGGCATCCTCCCTTCCCGCATTTCCACAACTATCATTTTAAGCGCAGCATCCCAACATTACCCATGAATTAGCATTTTTTACAGGGAAAGTCACCTAGACAGGTAAGTTTGAATGCAGTTAAACAGACGTGCCGATTTGTACCTGTACGAGAACCAGCCAGTGGCTCTGCAATGTAAAGCCACCAGATGGCCTTTTCCTCAATCAATCATTTAGCTTAGTCAAAGGGCCAAAAAAAAAAAAGATTCCTGAAGCTATTCCTAGAAGTCAAAAGTACTCTTCCAGTTACACCCTTTCTTATTTCCACAGCAGCACTAGATAAAGCAGCCCCTACAATTCATTCCCGTTCGCCACATCTGCCCCCTCAATTTTGCTGTTGAAATCTCTCTTCCTAGATTTCCCTACACGGTCCATCACTGGAGGGCAGCAAGATGAGTAAGATTAGGACAGAAACAGGAACGACTGGGGCTGTTTAAGCGCGTTGCTCATAGCTCAGTGTTGTGCGATTACGCCCTGTGAATATAAGCTTTGACTTTACTACTTGATTCATTGCCGTATTTCATAGGCAGCAGCTGGAAGAGGAGAGCGGTACGCTGCCATCTACCCTGAAGTTTTCTAGTAGTTACACATAACACTGTCAGCAACAGTCTTCAGGGGCAATCTTCGGTTTAGCAGGCTGGAAAACCCTTCTTACCTTCCCTACACGATCTGCGGAAGGTCAGGGTAGAGTCCAACTCATTTTTAATCTTGATCAGAGCATCGAGCACCATAGGCCCACATCTGTAACAGAAAACAGTCGGTGAACCTGTGTAATTCCCCCCCAGCCTCAGTGTTTGATCTCTGGCACCCCAACTAAGCAGCACCTAAAAGGACTTTGATCAACTACACTTAGAAATACACCTTTTTTTTTGCCAATTCCAGGCAACAAGATAGAGATATCTCTATCAGCAGCACAACCCATTCGCCTCAGCACACCCCAGGGTCGGGGTGGGAGAGAAGCCCTTTCTTTTGCTGATACTCTGAAGATTTGGCTCAGCTGGAGCGGGTTCAGACAGCACAACTGAAAACCAAGTGCCTCGCTACCGGTTCTCTCCTTTTGGGTTAGGTTTTAACAAGTCTGTCTGTCCTCATTAGTCACAAGAGGCAGTGCTGCACACAAAAACAGTCTCGGACAACTTGTGTAACTTTATATATGGCAGACAAGCAACACCCAGAAAGTATTAACTGGTGCAAGTCACACAAAAATTTGAGTTTTCCATCATGTGCTTCTTAAGTCAGGAGCTGCGTGGCTTTGTATCCGAAGCTTTCAGAAAGGGCTCGAGGTGAATTCCTCTGGCAAGACCACAGCAGCAACTGGAGCTCAGGGAAATCAAGGCCCACGTGCCCACGTGAAGGTTTCTGCACCACGTGCAAGACCGCACCCCTCCAAAGAATCACGGAGAAGTAAGAGCTTTCTTGGCAATAGCTACACCAAAGCGTGCAGATGGTTACTAGAGGTTTAATAAGATCTAAAACCCAGAAAAAACTAAGTGTTAAGAAAACTATGAGAAGAGTCAATAAAGATTCCGCCTTATCCCACCAGGTCTGGGACTGTGAACTACACGTAAAACAGTTTCCTTTTGGAACATGCCCCAAAATTTACCACGTAAATGAAGCTTATTAAAGCCACAAACACATTCAGGTCTTCAACACAACTCAGGGACACAGGTAAAGCCTCACAGAAGTCACAAAAGGAAGTGACCATTTTACTGCTGACAGCTATCAAGACTGGCATTCAGAGTACAGTTTTATTTGCCACACTTAGCACCGACAGGTGAGGGAGGGGAAAATAGTCCCATGTGATCACAGTAAGATTTGCTTTATCAGGAAGTAACATTGATCTTACCTGGGCTGAGGACAAGGTGCTCTGTAACACAGCTGAGGCACCACCTTCCTGGCCACTCCAACAAGGTTTTAACAGTCCCTGAAGCTTAATGAGGCTGCTGACACCTCCAGCTGTCAGCTCAAGCGATCCTCAACCCACCCTCCGTTATCACTTGTCAGATAACCTGCATGCACACACACAGCCCCAGCACACCTGCCTGGCAGCAATGCCTCTCCCTAATGGGGCATACTCACTTATTCAAATCCACTTCATATGTCTGCATGCGGGGCTTGTCCCCAGGCTTATCAGGATCCCATCTGTAGATGGCAAACTTCTTGATACGGGGCGCTGCCGCAGCTGCCGTCTGCACTCCCCGACACATCTGTATTCCAACAACAGCAAAACAGCCCTTAGGTCCCTTGGGGTGGCTTTTAGCCAGGCAACAAAGTGACTTGAGGTCGTGCGCTTCGGGGTGAGAGCTGCAGGACCCATCACTGCTTTGCATTTGGGCACTTGTACAGTTTTTGGAAAATCCTCCCAAGGATTTGCCACAGCAGCGTACCCTGGTGCACGCAACCACCTCTACCCTGACACCCCCTCCTCCACGAGGCACAGGAGATAATCCTAAAACTAAGGGGCAACCCACAGGTGCTCCTGCGGTGCCTGCAGACACTCCTTCCCTCCGCAGCCCCAAAGACTCTCCCTGCCCCAAAACTGCCCTCAGAAGCTCCCAGCTATGTCTCTACCCAGCTCCAGGCCAACAATCCACCTCCTCCCAGTATCCCCCCAGGAGCTTCTTCCCCCTCCAGGCCACATGCCCCTACTCAACTCTCCCCAAATTACCCCACATCACTATTCCTCCTGTTCCCACATCTCTTCCCAACACTCTTTTGGATCTCCTGCACCCCGCAGCCTCCTGTCAACCTCTATCTCCCCCTAAACCCATCCCAGACCCCTTCCCGCTCCTTTTTGCCCCTAGAGCCTTCTCAGCATCCCCCTCACACCTCCTCTCACCCTTCCAAGCCCCCCTCCTCTTCTCTTACCCAC